TCTTGCCCCTTTTTTCCTCTTACACCCATCTTCATGACCTGCCCCCCAACCTGGGGTTTGTTTTGCTTATGACTAAACCATCCCTAGCTCTAACCTTTCTTATCTTTTCATTTCTTCTTTTCCCCTTTCCCTGTTTCCTGTGTCCCCCATTAAGTGGAATGTATTTCTACACTAAATTCATGTGTGTGTGTGTGTGTGTGTGTGTGTGTGTGTGTGTGTGTGTGTGTATGGGTGCGTTCTCTTTGACCAGTTCAGATGAAAGTGAGGTTCAAATGATACCTGCTCCTTTCTTCGTTTATATAGACTCCTACTTGCATACCCCACCAAGTATGTGAGATAAGCCCCTTCTCCCATTCTTAACGTATCCTTTCCTATCTCTTTCCTTTTCCTTTTAAGATAATAAAAACATAATAAAAACTACCCCCAGACCAGACCCTCCATCTTATTTGATTCTAAGACCCCCAGTGACCTTAGGATTCTGAGGGACCATTTGTATAATTTCTTTTTGTTCATCCTTCATTTTTGAAGAGGACTAATGACATCACAGTGTTGGGGTGAAATAGTGGGTGATGGGTGATGTTTTGACTTGCCCATGAATTGGCTTTAAGTGAGGCAGAGTGGTACAAAGTCTTCAACCTCACTCTCTCTTCCATAGTCATCAAAGTCCAGTGGCAGGACAACAGTCAAGATGACTGTTAATGGCCTGGGGGTGCAGTGGATGACCTTGGTGTCTTTGATGTCTGACTAAGCTCTAAGTACTCAACAGTGCCTGCTTCAGTTGCCTTCATGGCCCTTGGAACAAATCATTCTCATCCCTTACCATTCATTAGAATGAGAACATTTTATCCTTCAAAAGTAGTTTTTAATTGCTCTTTTGCATTTCCATACATGTATGTGTGTATACCTATGTGAATATATGATACACACACATGTACACACACAGTATATTGCTGTATTAGCTCCAAGTTCTCAGCATGGAGTCCCCATAGCAGGCCCCTCTGGGAAACTCCAAGCTGTTAACATTCCATTCTGCTGTGCCTGACACATTATAGCTACAATTCTATCTCTTTCCTTTGAACCCCTAGAGCAATTATCTCCTACTACTTATTTGGCATTTATCTCCTGTTATCTGAGCTAGGACTAAGAGAAGGCAGTGCAGGCCTCAGGAATAATGTCCAGGGTGGAAGGTCTGTTTTAAATATTACTTTTTATATACATGTCACATGAATATTAGTTGAAGAAACTAAGGAGGTTTGTTTAGGCTAAAAAGAAAAGACTTAGAGTGGACTGATAACTGTTTTAAAGTATTTAGAGGGCTATGATGAGAATTGACTTGTTCTATTTAACTACAGAAGGCAGAATAAGAAGCGAGTGGAAACTAGAAAGAGGTAGATTTAAGCTCAGTATAAAGAACATAATGGGGAAAAATGTTCAAAAGTAGAACGAGATGTTGGAAGGCAGTCAGTTTCCTTTCATTGGAGGTATTCAAATGGAGGCTGAATGACCACTGGTCAGGGAGTCTGTAAGAGAATTCCTTGAGCCAGATGGCCGCTGACTTTCCTTAACAACTCTGAGATTCCATGATTGATTTAGACAATCCTCCTCCTCCTCATTGTCAATAATCTTGATGAAATTGGCAATGGATTATTGCTTTTGGACACACTTTTTGGACCATGTTGGGTAACGTGGATTATTTTCCACTAGCTTCTGTGGATTAATCCAGGGTAAAAAAAGAGATGCTATGTTCTCTTTCAGGGTGTTGTGTTTGTTAATCTATCCTTTGAAATTGGGGAAATTAATAATGTCAAGAATGGACAAGAGATGTTTGTTTCTCTCATCTATTTTTATATACTCAAGAAAAAAAAAACTATCAGATTTTCAACAGGTGATTATTTACTATATTTCCCTGTAGAGTCTTTGTATGTTAGTACCCACTATTGCTACTCATGCAGTTTTATTTGGTAATTTGCAAATCTATTGATTATACCCTGTATCAGGATGTTCTACAGTAATTAACATTAGAATGCAAAATTATTTTCTACATTAAGAGTTTGGAATCTTTTGTTAAACAAAGGAAATCTTTCAGCATTGTGCCCAAGTTATCATATACATAATACAATAATTAACCAGGATTACTCATCATGAGATATACACACATATTAATCATTGTAAAAAGTAGTGGTCTCCAAACTTTTTTGATCATGCATTCTGTCAATTAAAAAATATTTAAAGTATTCACCTTATAGATGTCTGTATTTACTTATTTGTAAGTTACATTGCTACATGTTAATAATTATGCATATAATATAACACAAGATGTAAATAAAAATTTTAAAATAAAGATGAAATTATTGATGTTAGGATCAATAGATAGCCAGGAGAGTTTATTCAGTGGAGCAGTGACCTGGTCAGAGGTGTCTTTATTGTTGTTGTTGGGTTGTGTGTGACTCTGTGACCTCATTTGAGGTTTTCTTGGCAAAGACACTGGACTAGTTTGCCATTTCCTTCTCCAGCTCATTTTACATATGAGGAAACTGAGGCAAATAGGGTTAAATGACTTGCCCAGGGTCACCTAGTTAGTAAGTTTCTGAGGCCAGATTTTAATTCAGGAAAATCAATCTTCCTGACTCTAGGCCAGGTACTCTACCCACTGTGCCACTCCTTCAAACATGATTTAGGAATATCAATTTGTTAGCTATGTGGTGGATTGATTGGAATAGGGGAAAGAACTGAGGCAAGAAGACCAATTAGGAGGCCAATACAATAGTGTCTATGAGAAATGATGAGGGCTTGAATGAGGGAGGTGGCTGTCTGAGTATAGAAAAGGGGATGGATAGAAAAGATTGTGTGGGGGTAGAATTATAGAGTTTGACAACATAGGATATGTGGGGTGAGGGAGAGTCAGAAGTCAAGGATGACAGAGGTTTTAAATTAAACATGAGTCACTCTAAGGATTAGAGGTACCTTCTACAGAAATAGGGAAGTTCTGAGATGGAGTGGCTTTGGGGGAAAGATGATGGAACAAGATCAGTAATGCAAATCAAAATCTATTCATTTCTGTTCATTCTGTGCTACTCACTTTGTCCCACTGAAAATAAAAAGCAGGATGGGATGACAGCTCTTATTCACCAGTCCCTGAGCACTTTCTAGAACACAAAATTCACAAAGGGTGCCTGAGGCGACCTGGGGGCAGGCTGCGCATGTTCAATGGGGTGGGGAAATTTTGCCTGTGGATATTGGTGCAGGTTGCATAGTCCTGATTTGGTTATAACTGCCCCCAAGGGACTGAAGACCACAGTCATTGACCTCCAGCCATACTAGGGATGGAACAAAGTGGAGGAGTGTTGGGCAATGAAGAAGTCTGTGGAATTGTCTTGGAGACAAGCCTTGCAAATTAGCTGTCACAGGACTGAGACCTATCTTCTCATCTTCCTGTTAGTTACCCCTTAGAATTATGCCACAGCCGCCTTGGAGTCCTGCTGTAGTCCACTGAGGATACAATCCCCACTTTGTAGACTAATTGAGCTAAAAAAAAATGAGATATCTATATACCCTTTTATTTTTGTATATTAGCTAATGAGTTGTTCATGCTAAGACGTTCAACATTCAATTATTTTAAATGAATACCTTCCCTCACATATGTACAATGCCTTATGCATGAGATAGGAATTGCATGACAGAAATTGAAATACCTTGTGCTATACCATAGAGAAGTACAAACATGAGTACTGAACCCAATCAATATCAACTCACTCCCTCTGTGAAGAGGAAGGAAGTATAGAAATATTTACCAGCAGTGTGTATGACTGCAAAAGACAGAGTCATGCAGAAATACAGAGACAGAGATAGAAGGGGAAAAGGAGAAAGGAATACATTTTTATATAGCACCTACTATGTGCCAGGTAACGTGCTAAGCGCTGTACAAACACTATCTAATTTGATCCTCACAATAACTTAGCGAGGTAGGTGTTGAAAAAGACAGACAGGCAGGCCGGCAGACACGGAGAGAAAAGGCTTGCTTGAGAGCTGAGTTGCATGTCTACTAATCTGGGAGCGTATACTGTCTCAAGCAAGATTGGTATTCCATGGTACGGTGAAAAGTGTACTAGTTTGGGACTCAGGAGATTCAAGTCCAACACACAGTTAAGTAGCTGTGTGACTGGACAAGTCACTCAACCTTTCTAGACTTTAGTTTCCTCATCTGCAACATCGGGGGATTGGAATACGATCTTCAAGGTCCTCCCTAGCCCCAACATTATGAGCTGAAAACTGCGGAGAGGAGAAAGGAAAAAGGAAAAGGAAAAGCAGAAAGAAATGGAGAAAAAGAAAAAGAGGAGCAAACGAAAAAGGCAGACAGATCCGCCCCCCCCAGATGCTTCTTCCTCCTCCTCCTCCTCCTCTCTCTTCCTCCTCCTCTTGCAAATTCTGTCTGCCCCCACTCCCCCAACCCCACCCCCCTTTCCGGGCTGCGGTGAAAACATGGAGACTCTGAATCCGCCCCATGACTAACTCCTGCACCGCGGAGGAGTCGGGACACACACACACACACACACACACACACACACACACACACTCACACACTCACACACTCTGGGCATGCTCAGTCGGCGGGGCCGGTTCAGGCTACTGCCACCACCACCACCACCAGCAGCAGGAGTAGCAGCAGCAGCAGCACAGCAGCAGCAGCCCCGCCGCTACCGCGGTCGCCGCTGCTGAGTCGGAAGCCTGTGCAGAGCAAGCGGGGCTGTCAGTGAGAGTGGAGAACGCGAGGGCGCGCGCGCAGCGGCGGCTCGGGCTCCCGCACCGGCACCTGGGGCTCCCGCGGCCGGAGCAGCAGCAGCAGCAGCAGCAGCAGCAGCAGCAGCAGCAGCAGCCCCGGCCGTGCCGGATCGGGCACTGTCTGCTCCTCTCCAGCCAGGACCTCCTGGTCCCCCACCTGGCCCCGGGGCTCCTGCCCTTCCTTCTTTCCGGGGAGCGGAGGGAAGGTGTGCAGCACCTCTTGCTCCCCTCCAGCCTCCCCACTGCCTCGTCGGGCTCCGGCTTTCCCAGGGGAGGCAGGTGGTGGCTTGGGGGGGACCATGGCCGACGTTTTCCCGGCCAACGACTCCACCGCGTCTCAGGACGTGGCCAACCGCTTCGCCCGCAAAGGGGCGCTAAGGCAGAAGAACGTGCACGAAGTCAAGGACCACAAATTCATCGCCCGCTTCTTCAAGCAGCCCACCTTCTGCAGCCATTGCACTGACTTCATCTGGTAGGCGCACGCCCCTGTTGGGCTGGGGTCGGAGAGAGTGGCGGGCGGGGGAGGGGGGGGGGGTGGGGTAAAGGCGGGGCGCGGTGGGGGGGGGGTGGTGGTAGAGAGAGGCACTGGTACAGGCACACTCACCAACATACCCCGAGGTGCCCGTGGGCAGTTGCACTTTCACACCTATGCACACTCAACGCCCTGGCACTCAGCTGACACGCCCAGGCACACTCACTCACACTCATGGATACCCCGGGGAAAGCTGAACAACAGTAATGCACACACACACACACACACACACACACACACACGCAGGCTGATCCGCCCACAGAGCTTAGTGGCAGAGAAACACCAATGGACACTCACACTAAAAGATACAAACACACCCACACCTACTCTCATTCACTTTATTGACACCCCTCCACGCGGTGACAAATCCACTGGCGGGGTCTACACTGACACTTTCTTCTTGGCATTCCCCGACAGGTGATGAAGAGGCTGGCACTGCCAGGCATTGACATTTACACACACACGCACACACACACAGATACTGATAAATTCAGGCTGCCCTCTTCTACATGCGCACACTCACACAGGTAGTAGAGCAATGGTGTGCGGCTATGTGGGCCAAGGGAAAAAAAAAATTAAAAAAAAACAAAGGCAGAAGAGTTTCCCCGATTCTCTTGTCCGGCGAACCGCACACAGGAGAAACTGAGGAGCTGCTGCAACTGTGCTGTCACTCATTCCGAGCCTACTCTTTGCCAGAGGGCGTGTGTTGACTCTGTGTGTGTGTGTGTGCCTTTCCTTCCAGCTTACACTCCACTGAACCTTGTGCCCCCGCCTACTGTAGCTTATAACTGCTGGGCACAGAAAGACTTTGACTTTTCTGAGTAAGCAAGCAGAGAGAGAGAGAGAGAGAGAGAGAGAGAGAGAGAGAGAGAGAGAAAGAGCAGAAAGAGCAGCAAACTGTTGCAGGCATGTGGTGGGGGAGGAGGTGCATTAAAACAGAGCAGGCAAAGGGCAGGAGGCATTTAAAATAGACCCTGTCAACACAAGATTAGTCTTGCAAGTCTGTAGATGAGAAAAGATTCTTTATTTAAGAAAAATACTATAAAGAATAAAGGCACTTGATAGTTATTTAAAACTAAAGATATGTCCAATTGGGCATAAGATTGCTAGGTGGGGGAAAGTAGTTCTTCCTCGCCCCCCCCTTCCAAATCGTTACTTTATACATCTTTTTCTGCTTCTTGTTCATACATGTAGGCAATCTGCAATAGTTTGCTAAATGTAGTTCCTTAGGTCCTAGACCCTTAAAGACACACGTTGAAACTACATTGTAACTCCAGCCAGCTGTTTCCTGTAGGCATCTTCTTGTCCCCAAGGGGTGAAAATATAGTAGTAGCTCAGTGTAAATCTGTCAGTGTTGGACAATTGACCTAAATTGGTGGGTTGGTGCTGTCATTCTTCTAAAAAGAATAGCATTTTTAAAAAAAGGAATCAAATCAGAATTTATAATTTGAATGAAGTTGTTATACTCAATGGAATGGGTAGTTGTAGATGTGGCTACATGAAAAAAGATAGAGCATCAGGGCAAAGGAAGACAGCAAATATTTTAAGGGGGTGCTTTCTATCTCCATTAAATAGGTATCTTTTGCTTACTTCAGGCTCTTAATGCTTTATTTTTATTGTTACATTCTTTAAAAATAGAACTCTGTTGCTTAGTTCTTGAGGAAGCTGCTAAGCTTAAAGACTGAATTCCAATGTACATCATTTAGTTTACCACGTTCCTACTATCAGAGATTAAAGGAACAAAACTGTGTTGACAGGCAAATCAAAATGGACAATAAATTATCCAGATAATTCAAACAATTCCCCTGCCCCTGTTGTTACTTCAATTATCTAGATGCTTGTGGTAAAACTTTTTTCTTTTCTCTTTCTTTTTCCCTTCCTTCCCCTTCTCCCTTCCTCCATTCCTCCCTTTTTTCCTTCCTTCCTCCCTTTCCTTCCTTTCTTTTTATTTGCCTTGTGTCTGGAAAATTGCTTCAGTTCGTACCTTCACTTATGCTAGTGTGGTCTAGCAACATTTTCTAATTATCAATTGATTCCTAGTTTCTGCATTTACTAAAGTTTTTATTTGAGTCTGAAAGCAGTGAAACTAAATATTTATATTTAGTGTATCATATTAGAAAGCACTCTAAACTATCTGCATTTCTGAACTACTTTTAATTCTTTTTTTTTTTGGCGGGGAAAGAAATGCTTTGCAGCTTAATATCTATTTTAAGTTGCTTTTATCCTGAAATCATTTTTACTCTGGACACAGATAATATCAAATGATTCCAAAAAAACCAAGTCTGTACATAAGGTTAACTCAGTAAATATTAAACGGTTACTCATCTCAAGTGCAAACAACAAATACAATGATTTATTTGTAAAATTGGGCACTTACAGCCAAAGTTAAACCTTAAGAAAGTTTGCTTTCACAAAGTCTAGGTATTGGGAAGTCCGTATATCTTAAATAAACTTTTAACAGTTTAATAAGCTTAGTTAAGCTGTTTGTAGAGGGAGAAAAAGGCTGCTCAGTCTTTGGTGATAAAACAATAAAATTGCTTTTTGTTCCAGGACATATACTTTTGAAACAAATTGTAGTACAATTTTTAATGTCATACTTGTAACCTTTTGAAAGCTGAGTATCAACAGCATAGGTATGCAAAGGTGAAAACTGTGACACTGTAAAATTCCAGGGTAGTTTGTGGAACTATTTTCCAAAGTTGAATCTATAAAGGTGGTAATTTGAGCATTCACTGCTGGAAGTATGTTTTTGCTACAAGATCAGAGGGTTTTATTGGATAACCTTTAAATGTGTAAGAATAGCTTGCCCCTTATTTTCCTTGAATGTTATTGTCCAACACAAAATTTCTTAAGAGATTTTTGTTCTTTCTGTTTTTTTTCAGGGGGTTTGGGAAACAAGGTTTCCAGTGCCAAGGTAAGTGATGTGGTTTTCTCGGCTAGGTGTACGTATACTTTGTTGGATTTTGTTAAATCTAGTAGAAATGATGAAATCTAGGGCATGAAATGAGTACACCAGACAGGCAAAGTATATCAAGTCAGCTTTTTCCTTGCAGGAAAAGTATATGGTTGTCTAATTGGTTAAATGCCATGAAATGTGAAGAATTGGTATTTGGGTCTTAAAAAAATAATTTACGAAAAGAAATACTCCTAATCTCCATACAGGGTAGCATTTCTTCCTCTTTAAAAAAAAAAAAAAAAAACAACTTTCTGTATTTTTTTCAGGGAATGTTCTTGTCAGAAACTACTGTCTGTGTGTGGGTGTTTAGGAAAATGGATCCACTTTATATTCATATAGCTTTTCTTTCCTGTTCTTCTTTGTTTTTCATCACTATCTGTTTTACCTATGCACTGAGTTGTACTGATTGACATTCATTTTAGGTAACACAGAGTTCCTGTGTCAAACTTTTTAAAATCCATTTGAAAATTGTATGCACATTTGATAGTGCATTCAATTTTTAAATGGATTGAAAAAAGTTCATCATGACTGTAGGCCTGATCCTCATCCAGAACCAAGTTTGTACTTACTAACATAATGGAACTGATAGGATAGCTGCTGGAATCTGCAATATTATGTTGCAGCACTTCTATATTCCTTAAATACTCATCAAATAATATAATGCCCCTTCATTGTGAAGAAGAAATAAATTCTTTTGGGAATGTGCTTTTGATTAGAGCAGCATTAAATTCATGCAAAATTTCTAATTTTTCAAAGTTTCCATACCCCTTGGAGTGTCATTTCTGCTACCTAATAATAGTGATAAAAATAGTGAGTCTCTACAAAGAGCTTTAAGGTGTGCCAAGCATCATCCGCATATTATCTCATTTGATCCTCAAAAAACAAACAAACAAACAAACAAACAAACAAAAAACACCCTGTAAAGCAGGTGCAGCTGTCCCCATTTTACAGATAAGGTAACTTAGGCTAAGAGATTTATTTGACTTGCGCAAGGTCACACAGTTAGTAAGTATTTGAGGCAGTATTGAACTCAGGTCTTCCAGCCCCCAAGTCCAATGTTCCATCTGTTGTTCAACTAACTGCCTTTACCTAGGTCAATCATGCATACTTTAAGGATTTATTAGCTCACTCTCTGTCTAGTTCTTTGCCAGACATTTTTTGGTGATTTAGTAAACTGGAAACCACATATTTCCATTCAGGATATCAGTTTTATTTATTAGCTGTGTGTTAAATGCTTTTGATAGTTCAGAAGAGGACACAGAGTGGAATTTTATTACCTTGTTAAATTTTATATACTCTTAAAAAAACAAGCTGAGTATACTAAAAGCTCATAATTCCATAGACTAATCTTGTTTTTGAGAAGTAGTCATGGAATAGTGGATAGAGAGCTGGCTTCAAAGTCACAAAGACTTGGGTTCATATCCTGTCTAATATATATTGGCTAGGTGACCCTGGACAGTTCTCTTAACCTTGAAGTGCTTTAGGAAATTCTGTTGGAGTAGCTGTAAATTGGCATTGGTAGAGAGAGTTTCCTACATGAATAAAATCACAGGTCTAGAAAAGAAAAATCCCATTTTTTTGTTCTTTGATATGTAGATATATTTGTTTAATGACTATTACATTAATAATAAAAATTTAAAAATGAATTAAAGATAAAAAAGAAGTATTTTTGACCTGAAAAGTCTTAATATTATTTGTTTCATTAAGCAAATTATTGAAAACAGCTATAACAAAACAGAAATACTATATTTCCTTTTTTAAAGTTTAATTTTCTCATAGTATTATTTTCATAATTAGTTACATTTTCAAAACTCCATGATAAAGTGAGGCCCATTTCTTCTTATATTCACCCTGTAATCATGGTTTAAATTTGAGTATTCTCTTATATGAGCATTCCCTAATATTTGCATTCTTTTACAACAAAATTCTTTTTAAGTCATAGTGAATGAATCCTTTGGGAAGTTAACAGTATATATCTAGGCAAATATTTTTTAAGAAAGAAGAGAATAATAATTAGATACTATGCTACTCTCTTAGTGTAGATTAAATGAAGAGAAGCAGCAGCAACCATTTCCCTAAGTCAGGTAATTTGACTTTAATAGCAGAGGTGTGGCTTTTTGGCATTGTGCAAGTAAGTCTACTGCATCTGATTCAGTGCAATATAACATTGAGTCTCGATGGTGTGGATGTGGGATTTCATTGGGTCTCTAGGGCACCTTGTTGAGAAAGCAATTAGTTGAGTAGATTATAGATTATTGGATTCTTCTCTGCTTTTCAGATCTAAGAGAAACTGAGCATAGCTACCAGAATCTTGCTTAAAAAAAAAAAGATTTCCTATTTAGAGGAATTCATTCTGCAGCTATAGGATCCCCTCTAAGATCCTGAATCCCCTTTAATACTGTTTAATCTGGAAAGTAGAAAAGAACCTCATTAGATTGTTGTTTTATCTATAGGACAGCATTATGATATGACTGTAATGACTGTATTAGAAGATTATTTTGTGTACAAGTGGAAGTCATGGCAAATCTGATACGTGAAAATCTGGATTGGCAAAACAGTTAAATTTGGGAGGAATTACTTGCTTTCCACAAATATTCTTTGTTTTACAAAAGGATTACCACATCAGTTCTTTAAATTATGAAATTCCCTCCTTCGTTTAAACTAGGCTTTACTTTGAGCGTGACATCTATAGCATGTAAAGTGAGGCACATCTGTTTTTAATGTAGAATTTTTAGTCATCATGTCTCTCTCTCTCTTTCTCTTTCTCTCACACACACATACATACACACACACACACACACACACACACACACATGGTCTGTGATTTTAATAATGTTGGGAACTCATGGGTACAATATTTTCCTCCAGTGGTACAGAAAAACAACTCCTTTCTACCTCTCGCCTTAGAGAGTTGCCTAGGGACACAGAGGTTAAGTGGGACTTGCCCATAGTAACACAGCCGATATGTATCTATCATTCTAAGGACTTGAATCCAGACCTTCTTGATTCTCAGGCTGACTGTTGTCACCCAGTTAAGTCTTTCTGTCAAGCCTCACTGTCTCTCATATCATTATGTAATTTACATTTTATGAGAGAATAGTGGCTAGACAGTGAACCTTATAGTCAGGAAGACTTGATTCACGTCCATTCTCTGATGCATATACTATTTGTATGACCCTGGGGAAGTCATAACCTTCCAGAACCCCTGGCAACTCCCTTAGACTATAAATTGCAGAGTAATAAATCAGCCAATCATCAAGCATTTATTAAGCTTTTGTGTTGGGCACTATGCTAAGCACTGGGAATATAAAGAAAGAGAAATAAGGTCCTTACTCTTTTAGAGTTTACAATCTAATGGGGGAGAAAACATTCAAACAATTATATACCAACAAGATAAATGCAGGATAAATAGGAGATAATCTCTGAGAAATGCACCAGCAGTAAGGACAATCAAGAAAGGCTTCTTTTAGAATGTGGGTTTTCATTTCAGACTTGAAGGAAACCAAGAGGTGGAGACAAGGAAAGATAGAATTCCAAACAGTTATTCTATAGGAATGGTGGTAAGTCTGAATTGTTGGAGGAATCATCCTTACTTGGAGTTCCTTACATAAATAAAATCATGGGTCCATCCCCCCATCCCCAAGTTATGATTACACATTTATGTATTACATAATACACAATATAACAAATCAATAGTACACATATGTAAAGTAACCAGCATTTAAATAGAGACTCTTCCAGCTGATCTAGTTAATCCCTATCTCCATGTCCATAAAATGAGGTTAAACCATAAAGTCTAATGTTATTGTTACCCAATAAAAGCTAAATAGCAATTAAAAGAATAGTAGTTGAAGAAAGAATAGAATTTTAATCCTTAAACCTGACTTCATAATTTATGACATCTTACAGGGTAAACCCATGCAGTGAGGGGGAAGTATTATCTTTCAGAAGCCTGAAATATTCTTTCCTGCTTTCCCATATTTAAATAATACAAAAGTAGAAGCTGGGATTTTTTTCTGTGGTTCTATTTAACAAATTATTCCCATTGGTTTCATAACAGCTTAACCTAATGGAACTTACCTAGTATTCTTATTTATGTTGTAGCACAGGTGTACAACACTGAAAACTGATCTCCCCTGTGCAGCTTACACAGGAGGATCCTGTTGTGAGCTGCTTACTCTGTGAAAAAAGAGAACTGCAGAGCAGTTGACTCAGTAAGCAGGCAGTCAGTGAGTTTTAGACAATGATGAAATGAAATATTTTTCTTGAAGTAGTTTCCAGAGGTGAAGTACGTGCCTCGTTTTAGTTAAAATTGACTCTCTAATATGCCTCCTTTTGTCACATTCTGATTTTGGTATAGTTCAGAGAGCTCGGTAGGATCTTTTATTTATTTATATTGCTTAACTTTCCAAACATCCTTGTGAGGCTAGTGGAGTATGCAGGTAAACGTCCCATCATTCAGTTGAGAGAACAGAGGTATGGTGAGGGTGGGTGACTTGTCTAGAAGGATTACGATGCAGATGGTGCTGACGTCTAGGAATCCTGTCACTATGCTGGTATATTCAGTCCTTAAGTATCTCAAGAGCAGTTGTCACAACACAGTACTGCATGTTATAATTTAATGCTCAAATTACTGGGTTATTTTCTCCTTTCCTCCTGGGCCAGAGTAGTTGAAACATTATGATCTGCTTACTCTCATGGTTGGAAAAGGGAATGAGCCAACTCCACTTTTTCCCTTCAGGGTTAGCAAGACCAAAAGCTGTCTCTAGTTACACAGGATAGAAACAAACCCTGAAAATGTAGCCTGATTATTGAATGTTCAGAATTGCAACTTTTAAAGTTTACTGTTATCTATTAATTTACCTTATCTGGGCATTATTATTTCATCTTTTTTTGTTTGTTTGTTTGCCTCATCTTTATTTACTATCATCACAATTCATTTCAGCAATATTTGTCTG